AAGCGACGAGGGGGAGGGAGGGCAGGGAGTAGGTAATGGTGCTGGATGTGGTCGTTGGTGAGCGAGATCGGGGAGGAGGCCCGGAGATATCCGAAAAATGCCGAGGCTAGCTCTGCGCCTCATTGCGAGGGCGCGGGTTGGCAAGGGGGGGCAGGGGGCGGCATGTTTGATAGGAGGAATGACAGGAGACGTGCAGGGATGGAGTGGTGCTGGGGGGGAAACTACTTGGCGGGAATGTGTTTCATAAGTCGGAGGAGGAAGGAAGGGAAGAGGTAATTTTTGACAGGGAAAAGAGGGGTACGCTGGCTGTAACACTTCCTGTGCGGCGTACGGGGCCCCGCTTCCTTTGTGGACAAAGCGAGAGTCCGCAATGTAGCTGTTTGTCTTTGATTTTTTGATCTAACATGTGCTTCGCCTTTACCCACGAACGAAAAAAATGCTGCGCTCCCGCATTCGTGGGAGGCAACACCGAAAACCCCCGCAAAAGCCCAGAGGCGGGGCCGACCCGGTGCTTCCCTGCGACAAGGCGGGCGTGGGACGGGAGGGGCGCCTGCCGTTTATGTGTCACCCTCTTTTTCATGCTATGTATCCACACTTACCGACTATCCGACTCGGATTCTTTCCCAGAGGGTGTCTTTACCCCTCCCGGACGACCTATCCCCTCCTCCTCCCCTCTGGCCCCCTCGTCCTTGTAGCCCCACCGTCGTGCCTCCTCTTTCAGCCAGACCACCCGCATTTCTTTTATTCGGACTTCACGCCTTAGTTCCTTTGTGTTTCGACGGTATGGAACGTAATTTTTGACCCAAGCCGCGCGAGATGCGAGTCCTTCGTGTACTTCACGCATGAGCTCAAGATACGATTGGTAGGCTTTCTGGACCTCTTCCTCTTCGAATTCCTCGGGGTTGCTCAGCTGTCGAAGCGTCTGGGATGCGATGCCGACGGCTTCCAAGAGGCGCTGTGAGATGGAGGAAAGGGGAAATTGCGTTGGTGTACGGAGGATGGACAAAGAAACAAGTCCTGTGGATATGTGTTCCTACATAATTACTATGCGCTGCACGACCTCCAATTGACTTGCTTGCATTCTTACATCTTGTAGCTTGTCCAGATTCTCCAGCTCCTGTGCTTGTTGGAACGCGGAGTTCTTGGCGGCATCATGCAAGTCGTTTGTGCTCTTTCCCAGTCCGGGACTGCCGCGAGGCAATGCTGTGTTGCCGGTATCCATCCGGGGCTCCCCTTCTGCTGGTTCGACATCCACATTCATCCCCCAAATATCATGCGCGGGGTCATTCGGCCTGCTCAAACCTGTCTGTGTTCCACATTGCAATAAACGCATGTGAGTAAGAGGTATTCCTTTAACCTCCTGACCCCGTCACGAAGGCCCCCCTTGGTCCAAATGGCGTTGGGAGCCATAGTGGTGACACGCCCTGGCGTCGCTCGCTGGAATGCAAACGAAGTACAAAAGTCTGGTCTGGTTGTGTGGTGAAAGGCACAAGGAAGACATCTTATCCGAGACACTACGCGTCTGAGGAAGTAACATTTTATCCACAGTCCCCGTCGCCAATGCCGACGACAGCTACTAGTATAGCGACTCGTCCATGGGGCAATATTGTTGTCTTTGACCATTATTCCCACACATGAAACGTCACTCAACACACTATAGGGGCCATGCTTC